ACACACAGCCCTCCCTTCCTCCTGGACCACCCCCCCTCAGCCCTCCCTATCCTCCCCGGATCCCAGGCGCCAGCCCTTGACTCCTGATGACCCGAGGCTTGTCCAGTCTCTGCCTCCCGCCTCCACCTCTGGGGAGAGGCGCACAAGGAGGGGTCTGTTCCTCTGGATTCCCCACCCACCCAGTCCGAACCTGCTTCACCCTAACCCCCTCCTCCGCCACAGCTGGGGCTGCTGTCCTGGTCCCCGGCGTGGCCCACCAGCTTCATACCCTCCCTGGCACCTACCCTGGCACCCACTCAGGAGGCACTCAGCCCCATCTTCAACTTGGAATGGGATGGGGTTTCATCCTCTGTTGCTGAAGCCCCCTGAGCTTCATGACCCACCCGGCGTGGCACAAGGGCCCTGAGCTCCTGCCTCAGCTTCACCCCAGAGTGGCGATGCCATGACTAGGCTATGAGTGCGGGCCAGCGTGACTGCAGCCCAGGCCTGCTGCCACACCACCCAGTCCCACAGGTGCCAGGCCGGCTGGGCAGATTCCCCAACTCTGCCAGGCTGAGTCCCGGCCCACTTCTTCACTCTGGGCCAGGCTACGAGGCACTCTCAGCCCACCCGATGCCACCCAACGGGACGGGCGCCTATGTGCCAGCAGATAGCACTGACCTCAGGGTATCTATGACTCTGGAAACCTCATGGTGTGGCCTCCACAGAGCCCCAAGCCTTGAACCCTGCTGAGACTGGAAAACGGAGCCTTGTTTTCCCCAACCCCTCTACCCCTGGCTTCCCGTCCGTCCTGAGAGGCTGGGTCAGGGACCGACCACCTCTGCCCTCACAGCAGGGTCCAGAACCGAGCTTGACGTCCCGCTGATCAGCGCATCACCTCCCTGGGCTGGGTGCCCTACCTCTTGTGATGTGCTCCGAGGTCAGCCCTGTGTCAGCAGCACCCTCGTCCTGCTCCGTAGCCGTTGCCCCATCTGCTGCGACCAGCCTGGGTTGGAGGTTAGGGCCCTGCCCTGCTCGAGGGTGGTCCTGTCTGTGGCCCCCCGGCATGGCTGGGACTCTGCTTGCCCCATGCTTGGTCTTTCTTCCTCCCTCCTCCTGCTCTGCCTGCTGTGCATGTGGCTCTTCCTGTCCTCCTCGGTGTCACTGGCCACAATGCTGCTGGACCCATGCCACGGGCGAGGTGACCCAGGGGACCTTTCTGGAGCCCTCGCCAGCACTGCATGATCAGCGTCCCCCGCCGCAGCTCTCACCCTCACACGCACCTACATGCCTGCTTGGTGCCCGCCTCCCGCAGGAGGGGACCACGTAACCCTGACACCCACGGGCGTCACCGACAGCCTTGCTGTGCCTCCTGCCTTCACTGGACAGCCCTCGGGAGCACTGAGGCTCCCGGACCAGCTGGGACTGCCTGGCAGAGCTCTTGCCGTGCTCACGAGGCAGGCTTTTGGCACGTTCCAGGACACGCGACCAGTCCCTGGCACCAGCTCGGGGCTCTGCCATCCTCATTCCTTCCCAGCTAGTCGTACTCAGATATACCTCACATCCCTGAAGGCTCTGCCCATTCTCCACGTAACTGGAGGTTTCATACCTTAGACGTGGCGCCCACCTGGGCAGGAGGTGCAGCCGGCACCTGGAGGGAACAGCCAAGCCAGCCTGGCATTCGACCGCCTGTCCTGCCCCGGCAGCACCAGGATCTTCCTGCTGTAGCACTCAGCAGCCAGGCCCTCTGCCTGCCCCCGCCATGCCACGTCTGCCTGCGGAGCTCCGGGGTGCCCGTCTTGGCCCCCGGCCCCTCCCCAAAGCTCTCTTGGCTGATCAGCCCCTCCCAGGCTCATCATTCCTGGGGGTGCAGGGGAGACATCACAGAGCAGAAAAGAGTCTGCCCCTGGGTTGGCTTACTTCTGCAGGAGACTCCCTGGTGTGTGTCCACTGGTGCTGCGGACAACCCCTGCCAGCCCCCAGATGGGGGTAAGCTTTGGAGCCTCCCTGAGCCTCCGCTTTCCTATCTGCCAAATGGGGTCCGAAGGACCAGTTTCAGTGGACCGTGTGAGACTCCCGTGCCCTTGGGATGTCCTGGTGGCTGAGGTCAAGGGGACCTGCCCCGGTCCTCTGTTCCTAAGGTGCAGACATCCCCATTTAAAGAGGCGCAGTGAGCACCGTGCAGCCAGTACCTCCGTCCTCGAGACGTCTCCAGAAAGCCGTCCCCTCATCCCCATTACCAACGCAGAGACGGAGGCTCAGGGCCGTACCTCGCGCAGGAGCCCCAGAGAGCCGGTGACGTGGCTGGGACTCCAACCCCTCCACCTCCAAGAACTGGGTGTGGGGAGGACCAGGCAGGGACAGAGGCCGTAAGAGGTGATGCCCTGAGTGTGCGTGGAAGGCAGGGTCCTGACCCAGTGCGTCCCAGTCCTGGGCAGAAATCCTGCCCTCAGTCCCCGGGAATGCCAGCCCCCGTCCTGTGTTGGGTGCTCTGATTTCCTCATTCGTCCTCTCCTTGGCAAGCTCGCCAACCTTGGCCTGGCCTCACTGCGCCCCTCTGGCATCCATGGCTCACTTTTTGATCTTCCCCCCACTGCCCGTCTTTGGAGTACCCAGGAGTTGTGTGAGCCCACCTCTCTGCAGCCTTTTGCCCTGGGCACCTGCCAGGTGGGGCCCGTGTAGGAGGGACCCCTCCTCTCATGCCTGGGGTTGGCAGCATGGAACAGTGCCCGGGATCCCCACCGGCTTCCATTCCTGCCTCAGCCCACCCTCTGCCCTCCCCTCCTGCCACTGCCCCACGCCCCCTTCGGCTCCCCTCTCTCCTCCCTCAAGGCAGCCCCTGCTCTCGTCCTCCCTCTCTGCGTGTTTCCCTCCGTTTCTCTCGTTTCTTTTCTCTGTTCGCTTCTCCCCAGTTTGGACTTGTTCTCGTCTTGAGAACCTCACAGTCCTGGGCACAGGGTCACCCCCTCCCAGCATCCCTGGCCAGGCCCGGCCCCCGATCTCACCTCCACAAGCACCACCTCAGCAGCAGCGAGGCCTCTGCAGCCTGCTACGGGCAGCACCGACCCTCATGGCCACGCTCCCTCATGGCCAACCAAGGGCTTCTCTCCCACGAGCTCTCACCTGCAGCGGCTCCTGCCTGCCCTCCAGAGACCTCTGTGGTCAAGCCCAGGCCACCAACCTCTGTCGAGCTACTCTGAGCAGGATGCTCAGTCCCCGGGTCCATGCTCCCTCCGGCCTCAGGGTGCCTCCTCTTACGGCTCTGGTAGGGGCATGGGGGGGGCAGTGCCCAGGGCACCCTGGCTGCTGCTTGCTGGTCGCTCTGCCCAGCTCTGGTTCGCCGGCTGGGACTGAAGCCTGAACCGCAGTCCTCTGGGCTCCGGCCCTGACACCCTGCCCAGGGGGCTGGGCCACTCGGTCCCTGTACCCCTGCTGCTGGCTCTTTCGGGCTTTTGGGCAGGACGGGCTCTGTCCGAGACCGACTCCCAGCCCTGCCAGGGCGGGGGCGACCCCACCCTCAGGATCTCGGGTCTGGATGGGCCCAAGGCAGCCACACCCCTTTGGACACTGTGGTTGGAGGCCTGGCTTCCCCCAGCCCCCTCAGGGCCAGCCCAGCAGGCTGCCAGCCCGTCCCTGCCCCACTGGCCACATCACGGGCCCCAGAGGTCCCCGGGCCAGGCTGCTCAGGGAGCGTCCCTGCCTGAAGGCCCTAAGAGCCCTGGGGAGAGCCAAGCACGGGGTGGCTGCCACATCTGCGGGCAGATGTGTGCCTGAGATGGAGGGAAGGGAGGGACTCACATCACCCAAAGAGCCTTGGTGGGGGTCGGCACGGAGCTCCGGGGACCTCAGTGCTCGATACGGAAGCCTGCCAGGCTGAGCCCTTGCCCACCTCTTCACCCCACGCCAGGCTACAAGGCACTCTCAGCCCACCTGGTGCCCTCTCCCAAAGCCAGGAGGGACCAGGCTGGTGGATGAGTCCAGGTGACCTCTGGAGTTGAGTGGGCCGAGGTCCCCTGACCGTCCCTAACACTGGCCTGGCCCGAGCTGGCCCTGGGAGAGACCCGAGTTGCCTGGGCAGACAGGAGGTGCAGGAGAGACTACCAGTTGTCAGGAAGGGCAGACTTGGCAGTGGTGGGAGGAGGTCAGCCCAGGGCCTGACCCTGCCAGCCGGAAGCCGCATGCTGGCAGGAGCTGGGGACAGCCAGGCCTGGAGAAAATGGTGCTGCGGAGCTCCATGCAGAGCCCGTGGGCTCACACCCAGGTGTAGACAAGGAGAATCGCCAGGGCAGGGGCAGGGGAGAACGGGGCAGGAAAGGATGGGGAGGGGGAGGACGGGGAGGGGGAGGATGGGGAGGGGGAGGACGGGGCGGGAGAGGACGGGGCAGGCGGCGCATGGTTTCCTGCTGGCCTGGAGCACCGATTTTAATGAAGGTAAACTGCATATAACTTACTCTCTGGTGGCTGCTGGCACCCAGCATGGCCCTCCAGGGCTTGTCACTGAGGACACAGCACCCTGTGTGCGCTGCCTCTCCCTGCCTGCACCCAGCATGGTGGGACAACCAGGGGGTCCCCGGGGAGGGGATGTGGCGGAGCAGGTGGAGGAGGGAGCCTTGGGCAAGTTTCTTCATCCAATCAGCTCCCCTGAGCCGGGCTCACTCTTTATTCAACAGCGAGTGGGTAAGGGGCTGCCTGCCAGGCCTGGAGGGCTGGGCTGGGGGCAGCTGGAGCTGTTGGATGTTGTGGAGCAGTGATCTGTGGCAATGCTGGCGAGCGCAGTACCATCCCGGGTGGCAGCGTGTGTGTGCGTGTACATATGTGGCTGTGGTGGGTGGCTGGGGCGCAGTGGCTTCCGGGCGCGGGTCCTGGAAGGGTGTGTGTCGGTGCCTGGTTGCATGCCACTCACCATGGTTGCTCCCCATAGCTGGACAAGGGACTCTCACTGTTTCCTGCCCAGCCCCCGGCAGGGTGAGTTCCCAGGGAACTCAAAGGGACGGGTCCTTATGCCACCAACCCACTGGCCGACCACCGCTGGCCTTAGTGAGGCCCCCTCCAGGCTGCCTCCTGCCCAGGTCCACAGGGACTGGCCCTGAGCCTGAGCCCACGTGGCACCAGTGCCCCCAAGTGCTGCTCCCTCACCTGGGGCTGCAGCGGGCGCTGGGCCCGGCTGGAGGGATGCTCATGGCCGAGCCCCGAGTGACAAGGGGGTGAGCCCCCACACAGCCAGGCCAGGGATCTGCCGATCCCCTGGGTGTTGCACTGCTTTCTCTTGGGCCTCAGTTTCCCCATTTGTTAAGTGGCACTGGTGAGCCTGGGGGCTGGACCCCAGGCACTTCTCAAATCCCAGGCCACAGAGCTCCTGGGCGACAGCAGGAGGATACATTCCTGCTGGGCAAGGAAGGGAGGTCTGACCTGGGCAGGCCCCAGCAGAGCCTGGACACCAGCAGGACGAGGCTCACGGGGCCCAGAGGTAAGGGGAGGCAGGAAGGGGGCGTGCTCAGCCGGGCTCCCTGCCGATCCTGGTGCTGGTCCTGACCTGGGGTGGCAACCAGAGACCCTGCCAGGCGGAGACCAGATCAGAGCCATCTCTCTGCATCTGCAGGGACCCAACAAGTGGGAGCTGGGGAGAGGGGTGAGCCGGGCTGCCTTTAGCTCCTCAGACCTTGCAGATCCCGCCCCTATGGGCGTCCCTGGCTCTCCACCCTCCCAAAGTCTCAGCACGGAGTGCCTGGCCTGGGTGGGTGGTGGCAAGCTGACTGATGCCAGCCCTGCCGCCCAGGATCTCGAGGTCCGGCCTGCATGCTCCATGCCATCAGAGGTGTTCGGAGCAGGACAGCCTCCCAGCTTCATGGAGGAGGTGGCGATTCAACTCTGCTTAAAAGCCTGGAGGGTTTGAGGAGGAGGAAGGGCACTACAGGCAACTCAGAGCGGCTGATGGCGCAGAGGGATAGCTCTGAGACCGCCCAGGCTGGGCCCTCAGAACTCTGCTCTCCTACCCGACTGCACGGGGTGCCACGCCACTGCTTTACAGAGGAGGAAACAGGCTGGAAAAGGGCGACATGCTGGCCCAACGCCTGAAGGCAGATGAGCCCCCGGCACCCTCCCTGGCCCTGAGGAGTCCCCCGCCTAGGGTTGGTGTGCTGCGCCAGGGCAGGTGAGCTCAGCCCAAGTCCCATTTCTTGCTCTGTGAAGTGAAGGTGACAGAAGGGTGCCCAGGGTCCAGTGGATCCCATGGGAGGCCCCAGAAGCCACAGCAAGGATGGGCCCTTCATCCTGGGGGCTCAGAGCCTGTCAGAAGCCCCGGGAAAAGGTGTGAGTAGAAACACAGCGTGACCGGCAGTGCTGGTGGGCTGGGGGAGGAGGAGGCGGGGCAGCTGCCAGGGGCTGGAGGAGGAGAAGCCTCAAGCAGTCTCTGCCCTCACATGCACCCACGGCCCGCCTGGCACCCTCTCCCTGCCCACCGCAGCTGGGGGGAGGCCCAGTGGCCCCGTTCCCCAGGGCCTGGCCTGGTGCATGTGGCCAGCCGCCCAGAGAGGGCACCCTGCCCTGCCCTCCATGCCCGGCCGGGGCAGGAGGGACCTACCTCAAGAGAGTATCCAGGCCCTGTCTGCTAGGGTTCCTCCTCAGAAGCTTGGGACTGATCAAGCGGCAGCCTCTGCCGGCTGGCGGTGACCTGGCCTGACCCCAGCCCCAGGACACAGCCGCATCTTCCGAGGCTCCTGCCCTGCTGGCCCTCCTCCCATGCCGCTGCCCCCTGTGCTCATCTCTCCCTGGCGCTCCGGCCCCTCTCTGCCCCTCTCGCTCCTGTACCTCCCTGGCGCTCCGCCCTGGTCCTTGGTGTCTTGCTGTCTCTCACCCCTCCCTTGTCCCTTCTGTCTGTGGTCTGCTTGTCCCTGTGACCTCTGCCTGCCTGTCTTGGCCCCTCCAGCTCCTGGCACTGGGGTCTGGGGGGCTGGCTCCCTGAGGGCAGCCTGGTTCCTCCCTCTGGCCCCTGGCACCAGGGTCTGCTGGCCGGCTCCCTGAGGGCAGCCTGATCCTTCCCTCCAGCCCCTGACACCGGGGTCTGCGGGCCGGCTCCCTGAGGGCAGCCTGGTCCCTGTGTCCCCATCCCTGTGGGTCTCCCTGACTGTGGGTCTCCTGCTCCCCTCTCCAACTTCAGGACACCCAGCAGCTGCTTCCCTTTTGTTCCCCCAGCCCTCTTCTCCGCCCCCCCTCCGTCTCCTCCACCTCTACCTCCTCCTCCTTCCGAGAAGAGTAAAAATGTCATACCGAAAACCCTCCCAGACCAGCAGCATGGGGGCTCAGCCGGACCTCTGTAGCCCACTGGTGGGCAGCGTGGGTGCCCCCTTCCCTCCCTCCCTTCCTCTTCCCCTTCCTCCCTCTGCCTCTCCCCTTGGGCCACCTTGGCAGCTGCTGCCTGCCTCTTGGGCTCTCCTGGCCCTCCGTGGCAGCCCTGCCCCAGGCACAGGGGCCTATTCTGCCCATCGCCGCCTCCCACCTAGGAGCGCCTTGTGCCCTCTGCCAGGCCCTGCCCAGACCTCCTCTGCTCCTCTCCTTCATCAGCCTGCCTGGTCCAGCCCCGCCTCAACCTGCTGCCTCCCTCACCATCGCCGCAGGCCTGGGCCCTTCGCTGGCTCCTCTGTCCTGTCCCCTCCTTCCCCGTCTTGCACTCAGCCCCTCTCTCCTCTCCCCTTTTCCTCTGGTGTCTCTGTCCCTATCTCTGTCTCCCTCCCTCCTTCCCTCCCCCCTTCCTTTCCCTCTCCTCCCTTCCTCT